CTTAATGTTTCCTCTATGTTTAAAACATGGTTTTGAAATTTGAATAATCATTAGACCATTAGCATATAGTTATGATTGAAGACCAAATTGGTGGCTAGGGACACTGCTAAAAGAAATATGTCAAGAATGAAAACTTAACATTGATAGAAAACAAACATATTTGAAGAACAGATTAAGGAGGCAAACTATGAAAACAAGATTTCTATCTGGAAAATACATAACTTGAAGGAAAACTTGAATGGGTTGAATACAATTTCTGAATACTGTTCAGCATTTCAGAAGAAAAATGATAAAATGACCTAGGTAAACCATGGGAAAATATGAATCAATCTAAATGGACCAGGATTAGAAAAAAAAATCTTGAGTCAGACTGTATGAGTTTGCTCAGGCTCCCATGACAAAAACAGCGCAGTCTGGGTGCCTTTAAAGCAGTGTCTTAGTCACCCGCGGTTCTGAACCTTGTGATCTGAGACCACTAGCTAGCAGAGTCGGGCTTTCACAAGTGTCCATTCCTGGCCTGCAAACAACTAACTTCCCCGGGTATGTTCAAATGGCCTTTGCAGAGAGAGAGGGTAGAGATGGATATAAGATGGTACAGACAGAAGGGAAAGGACAAGATGGCCAGAAGGAAAGAGACAGAGAGATATAGAAACAAAACCTTCCTCTTGTAAGCCACTTATCCTCATGGTCAACAAAAAGCACTGTATGTAAGAGGCCTGACTGCAATAACAGCCTTGCCCTTTGCCCTTTGATGTGCTTCTGGCAGAGCGCGATGGCTCTGCTGTGGGGTGAAACAGCTGGGAATAGATGCTTCCACTGCCTGCCAGTTCCTTTCTGCTCTAACACCAGGGGCCATAGTGTGTAACTCCTTTTATTTCCTTCCAATTAGTTGCCCTATGATGTATATAACCTCAGTAAAAGCTGATATTTTACCATTTAAAGTTCCCTTGGACATCATAAAACAGTGTAAATCATTACTTTTATCTGTCAAAAACCAATAAAGCTCATAAAAGTAAGTAATGCATGAAAATTTCATAGGCGCTAATATCAGACTCCTTGAAATTGTTCCTGAGAGGACTAATTGCTTATTGCCTCCCTTTTTACGCAGAGAGGGATATATTGAAAATTTGGATAGAAAATATATTCACATTAGGAATCCAGTTAATGAATTTGATACTTTTCTCAAACAGTACGAATGTATAATGTAAAATCAAATGATTATTTTGAATTTTGTAGCATCTTCATGTTTTATAAAGTCTACCAACTCAGCAAGCAAGGACTGTACAATTATGGTAATAATTCTGAAATCACGGAGAAGAAAAATGAAGATACTTCTTGAAATATCTAGTAGAACTTACTGGATGCAATGCTGTTTGATAACAATAAATAAGCAGGAGCACAACCTAGGTGCTCTGGTCTGAACTGTGCCCTCCGCCACTCACACAATAAGTCCCCTTGGAAGACAGAACCCTGGAAGGTGGCTGTAATTAGATGACATCATAGGGTGGGGCCCTCAGATTGATTAGATGGAGTGACCACAGAGCTTGCTATCCTCCTTCCTGTGTATGCAGTGAGAAGTTAGCCATCCATCAACCAGGGAGAGTCCTCACTGGCACCAACCCATGCTGGTACTCTAATCTCAGACTCCCTACCAGACAGGACTATGAGAAATTAGCTTTCTCGCACTTAACTACAACATATATAAGGACAGGCTATCTCTCTTGTAGGATTCTAGCTCACTCGGTATCTGGATGCATATACTTAATCTTACAGAATTTCACTGATGGACTGAAAAGTAATATGGTACCTCTAAAGTAATTTTGCTCAAATGCTCAAAACTTTAAGATACATCAGACATCTAGTAATGCATGGAGACTGCCCCTGACATAGACTGGGGAGGTGGAAGATTCTGTTGAAAGCTTATAGCATACAGAATAACCAGTCATAGTAGCATGAAAATGATACTGTTGAGAAAATGTTGCAAAGATGGCTGTTGGCAAGATTGCTGGAAAAGAGAATTTACAATTTTCTCTCTCTACCAACCCTAGCTGACCACTGATTAACCCCTCACAACAGGTGAAACTATCAGGGTGAGTGTGACAATCAATCCTGATTGTTGATAGTATTAGATTGGGAGATACCTGGGAGGTTAGTTAAGTACATGACTAGGTGTATTTGAAAATATTTCTGAGAAGGATTACATCATGATGACTGTGATCTGATGAATGATGTAATCAATTGATGTGTTCAAAATTGGAAAAGAGTATCTGAGGTTGCAGAAATATGAGTGGTGGACTGATATGGAGGAAGAGAGCCCCTGGGAAAGTAATATTGAATGTTGTATCTTTCCTTCATCCATGACGTTTTGCCCTGTTATAGGCTTAAGGCAATGAAGCCAACTGACCATAGACTGAGAACACAGAAAACATGCGCCAAAATCTTTTCCTATATTTGTTTTCACTCTTAGGTATTTGTTACAGGAATGAAATGTCCGAATGTCAGTGTTCAGTTAAATACACATGGTTACACAAGAAAAAGCTTTCTTAACCTATGTTTTTATTGGAATATTTCCTTATAAATTTGTTCTGCAATATATAAGTAGACAAATTTCTTATAATAATATCAATGGTCAAGAAATCAAGCACCAATGGCAATAACTTATAAATTATTCTATATTGTTTGTCTATATAGTAATAAATAGCAGCTAAACTAGTTTCTGAACTTAAATTTCGTTTTGTCAAATTGCCACAAACTAGGCTGTTGTAGTCACTAACACCTGTAGTTCCTGTTCGTGGGAGACTAAAGCATGAGAATTGCACGAGTTCAAGGTGAGCATGGATATACAGTGAGTTCTAAACCATGGTGGGTTACAGAGTGAAGCCATGTCTCAAACAAACATATACAAAATTGAAACAAAAACAGTTGCTTATTCTCAGCATCAGGACCACATTGGTCCATATTTTCCACAAACGGCAGCATTTTGGAGAGTCCTATGCACTTGTGTACCCCATGCATTCCTCGGATCTAGTTTTGTTTGTCTTTTTAACATTTCTTTTTCCTCAATTCATCACACTTTCCTGCTTAAAGTCCTCTTTATCAAGACAAACTTCACTGCAAAAGGGAACACCTCTCTTTTGTTAGAACATTCGACTGTGCAGCCCAGACATTGCAATGGTGCCTTGATTATTACTTTGGAAAATTTCAGGGCTAAGTAGCCAATTTGGACAACTCAAGTTTAAAGAAAAGGAAATTTTAAAAGCCCAGGAGTATGTCATTTTAGGATGACAGGAAACCCAAGCCTTTTTTCTAGAGAAGAAAACTGAATTATTGTAATTATAGCTGTAACATGGGCTCTGGAAGCATTTTCTTTCGTTCTCATTTCACCCAACAAAGAAAGTCTGTTACTTTTACATTTTATGTTTTAAATTTGATCAAACTGATGGTCAGAAGAAAAATGAATAATATTTTCTGAGTTAATTATTGAAAATAAGCACTGCCTGGCAAAGTGAATGAACAGATACTCTGTTATTTAAGATTGTTTATTCCATTTGGTAATAGGTATCTGTACTTGATATTTATTATGATATTATGTCCTTTGATTTAAATGCAAAGATATTTTTCTATGGCTTATAAACAAAGCTTGGTTACAATATAGACCTAGAGCAGTAGTTCTCAACCTGTGGGTCATGACTCCAATAGGGGTTGCATATTGGATATTTACATTATGATTCATAACAGTAGCAAAATCACAGTCATGAAGTAGCAACAAAATAATTTTATGGTTGGGGTCACCACAACATGAGGAACTATATTAAAGGGTTACAGCATTGGGAACTTTGAGAACCACTGACCGGGAGGAATATATTAAATATACAGTGTTTCCATTATGTAGTAGATGCTATCTGTAATATTGATATGCTGCTGATTCTTCTATAATGGGCTGTTCCTTATAGTATAGGAAATGCTCCTCTTGTCTGTGAATGCTATTCTATTTTAATGTAGTAGGTTGGAGGCTTGTAAAGCCATACTGACATGCTTGGGACTGTCAAACCCTAGTCTAAATAAGGGTAAAGTTTCAGTAAAACTACTGCCAGCTGTTTAGACTCCATAAAATGTGCTATGGATTTGACATCAAACTATTATGTCAGTAGTCCTCAGAAGCTTGTTGGTCTGCAAACTCAGTTATGTCACTGATTTCTTCTTTATAGTTATATAACACAACAGGATTGATATAATCAACTGTCAAATCATTTTATAGTATTTTTAACTAAGATTTATTTTGTGACACTAATAATATGTCAGGGGGTTTTCTACTGTGTTGTATTTATTTTGATGATATCTTAAGAACTCTTAATGAATTAGCACTCTCCTTTTAATTCTTACTTAATAATTCTATGATATTTATTTCTAGAGTACTGATATTCATTTTAAACTGCTATTCATAATGTATATAAATTGAAACATATAGAAAATAACAGTTCTGCATAGAAAATGTTGTATTATGTTTGAAATATTTAATTCCTTATATTCCATCATGATAACTTCACTCACTTATATTTTGTGAGAGTTGTATATTAATTGGAAATTTCATCATGTATTGACAAAAAGCTTCATTTGGTTATCATGAAATGAAAGTAAAATCTGTTTGTTTTGCAAGAGTAATAAGTACATTCCTTCATATTATAATGTTTCTCTCTAGGCATTTCAATATGGAGGGAAATCACACAGCATACACACACAGAAACCACACAGCATAATGTGGCCTTAGCCTTTGGATTGCACCATTTTCTAGTAATATGTAAATTGCTATACATGTAAAACACCATTTCTTTTCTTCCTGTTGTCAAAGGACTACAGTTTTCATTATTAAAGTTGATAAAATTGATGGTCCTATCTTAAATCATTCATCAAACGTATAAATAATACTATCAGTGTCAATAGATAAAGGTTTATACCAGACAGTCCTGAAAAGTAAGCAGCTGCGGCAGCCAATCACTTACCAGCTCTGCTTGAAGGTGAGCAATGAGCTCATCCCTGTCTTTCAGCTGCAGCTTCAGCATTGAGCATTCATCTTTTGTTATATCCTACAAAACATCAAAGAGAAAGCAGAATAGACTTAGCCCTCTCACTTTGCTCTTGACAAAAAAAAAGTCATCTTTATACATGGAAATAATTGTATGTAACTAATGAAACTCAGATTTCTCTATGATGTGACATTTCTTACAATACTTCAAAGTTGGAAAACCAAACAAAAGAATATGTATCTAAAACATTACTATGCTTTACACATCATGTGTATTTCTCCATATATATGATTTTTTTATAGAAAATTTTTTTCTTTTTGGTGCTTACTTGTCCACATCATGGTACTAAGAAGAAATGTGTATCGTTCTTAATTCTTTCATCACTTTTGGGTGTATATAACCAATGTAATAAAATTAATTATACTCTACAAGACATACTTTTGTTCCCTTGTGTAATTAGATGTTAATTCTCTTTTGGGGGGGATATTTTGTTTTGAGACAAGGTCTCTCTGTGTAATAGCCCTTGCTGTCCTGGAACTCACAGAGATCTGCCTACCTCTGCCTCCAAAGTGCTGGGATTAAAGGCATGTGCCACCATGCCCAGCCAAGTATTAATTCTTAATCCGAGGTCATGCTATACTCTCTTTATCAGTGATGTGCCTAGGATACTTCACTAGTCCCTTTCACTAGGATTCACTGCAGCTTTGACATTCTCAATGTGATAGCACATTCAGCTTCTACATCCATATCCATGGCCTCTGTAATTCTGTGTTGGTAGTTTTCCAATACAAGCACCCTTTACAGAATTCCCAATTTTCTAAACTTCTACTCATGAATAGAGCTTCTACCTGATCAGAATCTTAGCACTGTCTATGGACATGCAACTTATCATTCATTCCACATTCTTTCCAAGACCTCTCTTCATCATCCCCCATTTCTTAACAGACAGAACACTCTTTGAAGCTTTTAGTATATACTCACTGAGCCAAACTACTACTAATTCTTTATTCTTCCTTAATATTTCTGACTTGACTGTCTCAAATATGCATTTGTCAGCTATAGGAGATATTGATTCATCTGCAAATTTCTCTAAGTTCATTTTCCTTATCTATCACTTCCTTTATTTATGAGAAAGGTTCTTGAGCAGGAGAGAATGGCATCATTTTTCACTGTAACAAACCGTCATCTTCTTTTTCCGTTTTTTGCATATTTCTTTTTTATTATATTTTACTATTTAAAAGTTTTTAATTGTAAATATATTTTAATCGTACTTTTCTATATAATTCCATTTCCCAAGTCCTTCCCAATTCTACCACCTTCTTACCCACACAACTTTAGATTCTTTCTCAACAAAAAAATAAAAACCAAATAGAACAACAGAACCCCTCAAACCCAAGAAAACAAAATAAAAGAATACCCCCAAAAGAAACAAACAAAACAAACCATCAAATGAAAGCACACACAAAAAAGTTGTGGAGTCCACTATATGTTGGTCAACTATTCCAGAACATGAGGCCTGCCCTGGAAAGGTTGATCTACCCAGTGTTAGCCCACTTGAGAAAACTGGATGCTCCCTCTCCCAGCAAGCATAAATGACAATTCAGTTGTTAACCTTTACCCTAGTGGCTAGGTTTTCATCCACTCATTCATTTTAAAAAATAAAACAAAATAAAATATAAGATAAAACAAAATCTATCACATCAAAGTTGGACAAGACAAACCAATAGAACGAAAGGAGCCCACAAGAAGGCATGAACATCAGAGACTCACTGGTTCAAACATTCAGGAATCCCATGAAAATACTAAACTGGAAGCTGTAATAAAAGTGCAGAGGACCTGTGCATGCTGCTACAATATCTGTGAGTTCATATGAACTTTGCTCATGTTGATTTATACAGCCTTGTTTTCTTGCTGTCCTTCACCCCCTCTGGCTTTAACACTCTTTCTGATTCCTATTCCAGGGGGTTCTCTGAGCTCTGAGGGATTCAATGTAGACATCCCATTTAGTGCTGAATATTATTCTAAGGTCCCTCATTTTTTCATGGTGTGCTGCAGGAAGAAGTTTCTCTGATGATGACTGAACGTGGCACTGATTTCTGAGTACAGCATAATATCATTAGGAGTCATTTTATCACTACATTGTTTTATTTTCTTTGTTTAGATCCATATTATTTGGTTTTACCATAGGCACTTGGGCTATCTAGCCTCAGGTTCTTAGTCACCCAAACAGTTTCAGGTATGGGTTTCATCTTGTGGAGTGGGCTTTGAGTCATATCAGTTAATGGTTGGTTACTCCCACAAGCTTTGTGCCACCATTGCCCTAGCATATCTAGCAGGCAATACACCATTGTAGATAAAGGGTTTATGGCTGGCTTGGTGTTTACATTTCTCTTTTGATAGCATGCAGAGTGTCTTCCTGTACCAAAGATGCTATAACATAGGGTTGAAAACTCTACTGGAGGCACCAGTTCAACTACTCTGTGTTTAATGAGCTGTGTAGGTGTTGTCTTCCACAATGCGGACTTGCTGTTATTCTGTGAAGAGCAACCTATAGTCTTGGCAACAGTCTGGGTTTTTTGGGAATTCCTGTGGGTCCACCACTCAATTACATATAACCCAGTTCCAGTACTAGAAACTTTGTTTGGTGACAAGAGATGGTCAGTTGGGATTGTCTTCTCCATTATTTTTGGTGATTTCATTTAGATCAATTTCATATATGTATATATTTTTGCAAGTTTCTGCTGTATTACTTTTCTTTTTAAGGGAGAAAGCAAACTCCCCAGCACAGCACACTATGTCCTTGGTTGTCATCTGCATATTTGAGAAGACTCCAAGGTTTTGATTTCCAGCCACCTTAAAATGTTTCTTCAAACCAAGCTGAAATGTAATACACACATTGTTGGATTTTACTCCCTTCCACCCATCAAACCTCTGTCCCCCACAATATGTACTAGTATAGGACAAATCTTAAAAATTATTTCTTAGCTTGACTGAACTATTAGATGAAGGGCTCCCCATCGCATCTAAACCAAACATCATCTCATATGATACTTCAAATGTGAGCTTGTTCCCCACTCTCATTGGGCTTTTCTTTATCGTCCCTGCTTCAACATATAAACCAGTTCCTTAGCATGTCATTATCAGCAGGCATAGTATTTGACACATAGAGGATGTTCAATTCATGTTTCCTTCTTATAAAAATGGTAAATGAGCATTACATGCATTCAGAATACAGCTATTTTCTCTTAGTCTGTATGTCTATCTTACCTGACCAGAAAATATCTAAGGGAGAAGATGAAATAAGATTTGGTTATTCTGGGTTGCACTTTATTTTTCCTATGGTGAGAAATACTGTGTAATTCTAATTTATTAATATCTCCTTGCTTTTTACGATGACTACTGCTATAGTTTCCTTCCTATTGCTGTGACAAACCCTGACCAAAAGCAACTTGGGGAAGAAAAGGTTTATTTCTGTTTACAGGTTACAGTCTATTAGCAAAGGAAGACAGGGGGTGAGTTCAGATCAAAAAACCAGGATATAGGAACTGAGACAGATCCATGGAGGAATGATGCCTGATGGCTTGTTCCCCATGGGTTCTTCAGTTTGCTTTCTTATATAGGCCAGGACCACCTGCCCAGGTAAGACACTACCCACAGTGGCTGTGCCGTTCCATATCCATCATTAATGAACAAAATGCACCATAGATATCCCCACAAGCCAATCTGCTAGAGGCAATTTGTCAATTGAGGTTTCCTCTTCCAAAGTGACTCTAGGTTGTGTCCAGCTGAAAAACTGACCTGTATAGCCATGTTAACTAGAGATGTGATCTTCTAGTTTTCCCACACATAGGCTGATTTTATACTCATTCATTTTAAAATTAATTCTACATAGTACTCTCAGAAGCAGGATGCTCAAGTTGTTTCACATTGCAAAGGGAAAATTAACAACACTTAAGAGGCATGGAAAACAACAATCATGATTTTTTATAAACAACAAGGTCTAGGGTCAAATCCTTGATACCTGATCATGTAAATAGCTATGTGTTTCTGTGTCTAGTAGTTAACTTCTTTTAACTCCATGAAAATCACAGTGGGTGTCAAAAATCACACCAGGCTAGAAACTACCTGTTGTCAAACACTCTGTATTATTACTGCTTACATATTTCAAACTTCTATACCATCATATCTAAAGGAAGTTAAGATTATACATAAAATAATATATTATCAAATTTTCTCTTCTGAAACTAAATACTGAGATGGAGTTAAGCATGCTAAATATTTGCTAGAGAAGAGGGTAAAGATTTATGATAAGAAGGGGGAAAATGAAGGCTGCAGGGAAAAGCACAAACATATTTCACATTGATAAATCCTGTTAGTTAAACAGCTACCTTCTGAACTCTCTTGGGCTACACCAGGAATTCTCTACTGAGGAAAGCAAGTTAGCTCTTGTTCAGTCAGTGGGTGGAGGAGAGTGCCTGAGGTAAACTTCCCAGCACCACTCTCTGAGTTTAGTCACTGTTTCAGACCATCTAGTGGTAACCTTGGACTTCACGTGGGAGCCCACCAGATGTTGAATGAGAAAATGGTTTAAAAGAGTCAACTTAACATAGCTCTTACAGCGCTCAATAAGTCTTCAGGGATTCAGCATGTGTCTATTTTAATTTTGTGGTGGTACTAATGATCAACAGTAGTTTTTAGGAATTAATTAGTATTTTGTGGATTAATTGTTTTAATATTGTAGATTTGTTTCTGTTTTGCTTTAAAGAATTTAACCTTTTCAAAAACATGCTCTCTTTAAAAAGTCTCAGACTTTATTCCTGTGGTAATTTCTCAAAGGTGTTTACAGCCTCACAACTTTAAAACACACAAGTATTCACTGAATGGGTGAGACAGTTGATTGGCTTGATCTGTTTGGGAGGCATCCAGGCAGTGGGACTGGGTCCTGTGCTCATTGCATGAGTCGGCTGTTTGAAACCTGGGGCCTATGCAAGATCGCTTGGCTTGGCCTGGGAGGAGGGGACTAGACCTGCCTGGACTGAGTCTACCAGGTTGATCTCAGT